TTGATGCTGGAGCCGCCGGACCGGGTGGCAGCCTCGCCGGTCCGGCGGCATTCCTCTGACTAACACAGAAGGAGGAGGAGGAGGAGCATGTGTCTATCATGCTCCCTGCGGTTCCCACAATTCCCAGCACAGGATGTGGGAACCGCAAAGGAGCATGATAGACACATGCTCCTCCTCCTCCTCCTGTGTTAGTCAGAGGAATGCCGCCGGACCGGCGAGGCTGCCACCCGGTCCGGCGGCTCCAGCATGAAACGGCCGGACCCCCCTCACAGTGTGCCACCGGACCGGCCACCCGGTGGCACCTTCCTCTGCCGCCCCCAATTCAGCCCTGCCGCCGGGCCCCCTGAGGGCGGCCCTGGCGGCGGGCCCCCCTCCCGGCCGGGCCCTCGGACCGTGTCCGAAGTGCCCGACCGGTCAGTCCGCCCCTGGTGGGAAGTGAAGGCAGTAGTAGTCCCAGTTGTTGAAGAAGCACTCAGGGCTGTGACCCCCAAGCTGGTAGAGTGGGTTCAGCAGATTCCAGGTGGGATATCTGAGATCTCTGTCTGTGTGTTTCTGCCTGATCCTGTGTATGTGACTATCTGCCTGCGACTGTGTGCATGTGGTGGATTTGACAGTGTATATGTATAACTGTGTGCATCTGACTGTGGGACTGTGTGCACATAACTCTGCAAAAATATACACATTCATTCACACACAGGCCTAAGTGCATGTTTTTATCTGAATTAAATACCCATCACACACAGCCAATAAACCCAGCACAAATATCTCATATAACCAATACACGCATATCACACACTGTTAATACACCCATTACAAATATCACACACAGTCATCACATCTATCACATACACAGACAACACAAACATTACATCATACATGGATGACAGGGGGGATGGGGGCGCTGTGAAGATTTTTCGCACAGGGCGCCTAAAGACCTAAGGCCAGCTCTGATTGTCTGCCTACCTTTAAGTCATCTGAAATTATTACCCCTAAATCAGTGGCGTAAATACGATCCATGGGGCTCTGGTGCAAAAACTGATCCGTTCAAGGGATTCCACATTTTTAGAGCTGGTCTGTGTTTGGGGAATTCTCCCCGAACATAGATTAGAGGGATTCCCTGCTCTGGTCTGTGTTCGGGGAATTTTTCCAAACCTAGATTAGAGGGATTCTCTGCTCTGGTGCGTATGTCTACCAGCGCAGGGAATCCCTTTAATCTATGTTCTGGAAAATTTCCCCAAACATAGACCTTACTTACCGACCAATTTGTTTTATGACCGGGTCGCAAGAACGGAACCCAGTCGGTAAGTGAGGAGTACCTGTACTGAAGTAAGGTTTACTGGCCTATAGTTGCCCGACTCCTCCCTATTACCTTTCTTGTAAATGGGCACAACATTCGCTAACTTCCAATCTTCTGGTACTACTCCTGTTAGCAATGATTGGTTAAATAAATCTGTTAATGGTTTTGCCAGTACACCACTAAGCTCTTTCAATAACTTTGGGTGTATTCCATCAGGTCCCATTGACTTATTTGTCTTTACTTTAGACAGCCACAATCAGAACTTCGCTCTTTTGACGAATATGCTGGAAATATTTCAGTACACTATGTAGTGAAATTAGCAATACATTTATTGCTAAGTACTATTATCTATTTTGTGACAAAGAGGTTAGATGTGATTTAAAGTACCACTAAATACACCAAAACCACTTTATCTCAATGATGTACTGATGTAGAGTACTGTCCGTGGTGCTCGGCTGTAGGTACTGGCTGTGGTGCTCTGTCATAGGTACTGTCTGTGGTCTGATGTAGGTACTGTCTATGGCTCTCTGATGTAGATACTGTCTGTGGAGCTCCGACTGTAGGTACTGTCTGCGGTGCTCTGTCATAGGTACTGTCTGTGTAGGTACTGTCCATGGTGCTCTGACGTAGGTACTGTCTATGGCTCTCTGATGTAGATACTGTCTGTGGAGCTCCGATTGTAGGTACTGTCTGCGGTGCTCTGTCATAGGTACTGTCTGTGTAGGTACTGTCCATGGTGCTCTGACGTAGGTACTGTCTATGGCTCTCTGATGTAGATACTGTCTGTGGAGCTCCGATTGTAGGTACTGTACGTGGTGATCTGACATAGGTATTGTCTGTGGTGCTCTGTCATAGGTCTGTGGTCTGATGTAGGTACTGTCTGTGTAGGTACTGTCTATGGCTCTCTGATGTAGATACTGTCTGTGGTGCTCTGTCATAGGTACTGTCTGTAGTGCTCTTTCATAGGTACTATCAGTAGTACTATCAGGTACTGTCTGTGGCCAGGGCAACAGGGGCAACAGGTGGCCGTCACATCTCGCAGTCGGTCACTCACAAACCGGCCCGAATTGGAATGCAGGAAGAGCGTGGAGGAGGAAGGTGGGGGCGCGACGTCGGAAGGATCCGCTCAGTGGGTGTCAGGGCGGCAGGTGCTCTTCAGTCGGCAGAGTGGGAAAAACAGACATCTGGATCCAGGGAGCAGCAGCCTTCAATGTAGTTGCTTGTCCTTATTGCGTTTTTTCTTGTTTTTTTTATATAACGATTGCGTTTTACTGAAGGGGGCAGGGGGATAGTGATAAAGGGGGGGCAGAGGGCTGGTGATAAAGTGGGGCAGGGGACTAGTAGTAAAGGGGGGCAGGAGGCTGGTGATAAATTGTGGCAGGGGACTGATGAAGGGGACAGGGTTTTGTTGAAGGGGGTGCAGGCGACAGATTGTGAACGTGCCTGAAATTGTCTAGAGGGGGTCAAACAAAGATGGCGAGGGGAGCGCCACAAGATTGGCTCGCACAGGGTGCCTGAACACCTAAGGCCAGCCCTGTCTGTGGCTCTCTGATCTAGGTACTGACTGTGGTGCTCTGACGTAGGTTCTGACTGTGGTGCTCTAACGTAGGTACTGCCCGTGGCTCTCGGATGTAGTTAGTGCGTGTGGCACTCTGACGTAGGAACTGTCTGTGGCTCTCTGTTGTAGGCACCCTCCGTGGTGCTCTGACGTAGGTACTGACTGTCTATGGTGCTCTGATTTGGGTAGTATGCGTGGTGGTGCTCTGACGTAGGCAGGCCCGGACTGGCCATCGGGCACACCGGGCAAATGCCCGGTGGGCCGCGGTGGCCGGGGGGCCGAGGCCGGCAGGGGAGGTCCCAGGATCTCCCCTGCCGGTCTATGCAGGGCCGGCACTATCCGAGCGCCGGCCCCGCTGTCTTCCATGGAGGGCCGGTGGGGAGATCAAAGATCTCCATCACCGGCCCATTTAAATAGACCTGCGGCTGGGGAGGGAGGGAGAGGACCCGGCGGAGCTCTGTCTTGCAGCTCCGCCGGGTTTCTCTCGCGAGATCCGGAGCGTTGCCATGGCAACGCCCCGATCTCGCGAGAGAGTTCACTTACCACTGGACCACCAGGGATGGTGTGCGAGTGCCGGTGCCCCCCCTCCCAGCTACCACGTGCATGTCCCCCCCCCCCCAGGTTAAAGGTAAGAAGGGAGGGGGGGGAGGTTTAGTTTTTTTTTTGCTTAGTTTTTTTTTTTATTTTTTTTATTTCCCCCCTTAGTTTTTTTTTTTTATATATTTACCCCCACTTCATTTTTTATTTGTTTATTTACCCCCCAGCACACAACATTTATACACAGCACTATCACACTCAGCATTCTCAGCACTCACACAACACTCTCACACACATCACACCCAGCACTCTCACACCCAGCACTCTCACACTCAGCACGCTCACACACAGCACTCTCACACACAGCACTCTCACACTCAGCACTCTCACACACATCACACGCAGCACTCTCACACACATCATAGCACTCTCACACACATCATAGCACTTTCACACACATCATAGCACTTTCACACACAGCACTCTCACACACATCATAGCACTCTCACACACAGCACTCTCACACACATCATAGCACTCTCACACACATCATAGCACTTTCACACACATCACTCACACACATCATAGCACTTTCACACACATCATAGCACTTTCACACACATCATAGCACTTTCACACGCAGCACTCTCACACACATCATAGCACTCTCACACACAGCACTTTCACACTCAGCACTCTCACACACATCACACGCAGCACTCTCACACACATCACACCCAGCACTCACAACACACAACACTCTCACACACAGCACTCTCACACACAGCGCAGCACTCTCACACATCATAGCACTCTCACACACATCACACGCAGCACTCTCACACACATCATAGCACTCTCACACACATCACTCTCACACACATCATAGCACTCTCACACACAGCACTCTCACACACATCATACACAGCAATCTCACACATCGCAGCACTCTCACACACATCATAGCACTCTCACACACATCATAGCACTCTCACACACATCATACACAGCAATCTCACACATCGCAGCACTCTCACACACACATCATAGCACTTTCACACACAGCACTTTCACACTCAGCACTCTCACACACATCACACAACACTCTCACACACAGCACTCAGGCACATCACTCTCACACACATCACACTCAGCACTCACACACATCATACACAGCACTATCACACTCAACACTCATACACAGCACTATCACAATCAGCACTCACACACAACACACAACACTCACACACAGCACTCTCACACATCACTCTCACACACATCACACATCATACACAGCACTATCACACTCAGCACTCACACACACTAAAACAGACCTTATTACACAATACCACACCATGACCAGCTCACTCTGCACAAACGTAATACCACAAACAGGCTCCAAACACATGCACAATACTCTTTCCTGGCCCTTTTGTCTCCTGGTATCCATTTATAGAGACATCAGAGACAAGTTGCAAGGAAACAGTGCAAGCATGTTATTAAATTTGCTTGCACTGTGCAGAACAAATACAGGGCTTTTTTCTCATGCTAGAGCTCTTCAGCAGAGCTCTGCGCATGGTCTGCCCTGAAGAGCATTGAACCAACATGCTCACTTTGAGAGGGAGCGTGTTTGTCATGAGTGATGACAAAACACACCCTCTCTGCCCCGCCCCCTTCTTAGTGGGCCGCTGTGATAAAAAAATGCCCGGGCTGAATTTTTTTCCCAGTCCGGCCCTGGACGTAGGTACTGTCCATGGTGCTGTGATTTGGGTAGTATGCATGGTGGTGCTCTGACGTAGGTACTGTCCATGGTGCTCTGATTTAGGTAGTATGCATGATGGTCCTCTGACGTAGGTACTGTCCGTGGTGCTCTGATTTAGGTAGTATGCATGATGGTGCTCTGACGTAGGTACTGTCCGTGGTGCTCTGATTTAGGTAGTATGCATGATGGTGCTCTGATGTAGGTACTGTCCATGGTGCTCTGATATAGGTAGTATGCATGGTGGTGCTCTGACGTAGGTACTGTCCATGGTGCTCTGATTTAGGTAGTATGCATGATGGTGCTGTGATTTAGGTAGTATGCATGATGGTGCTCTGATTTAGGTTGTATGCATGGTGGTGCTCTGACGTAGGTACTGTCCATGATGCTCTGATTTAGGTAGTGTCAAGGTTATACTCCCCAACACGCAAACCAGAGAACAATAAAGGCGAACACAGATAGACGTATTACCGGACCTTAAAGTGGCCGGACTTAACGTAGGAATGAGAGATAAGAATAGTCAAACATGCCAAGGTCAGGAATACAGAGATACGGGAAAACTAAATAGACAGAGCCAAGGTCAGGGAGCCAGAAATAAGAATAACCAATAAACAAGCCGAAGTCAGGAACCAGAGAAAAGACAACTACTCAGAATGCACTCTCGGGCTAGAATAAACCATGACAGGGCACAGAATTGAAGGAGGTATAAATAGATAGTGGCAAAAGGCCACTATCTCTTCAAATTTGGTGTCCACGATATCCCTGCTGGCTACCTTGTGCGCACGTCCTCGGGTGCTCTCCCAGATGTGCGCGCGCACCACGCCGGCCAGCAATGCACACCGCCCGAGAGGACGGACGGCGGGACCGGGATGGCGCGGGACACCAGGTATGACAGGTAGTATGCATGGTGGTGCTCTGACGTAGGTACTGTCCATGGTGCTCTGATTTAGGTAGTATGCATGATGGTGCTCTGACGTAGGTCCTGTCCATGGTGCTGTGATTTGGGTAGTATGCATGGTGGTGCTCTGACGTAGGTACTGTCCATGGTGCTGTGATTTGGGTAGTATGCATGGTGGTGCTCTGACGTAGGTACTGTCCATGGTGCTGTGATTTGGGTAGTATGCATGGTGGTGCTCTGACGTAGGTACTGTCCATGGTACTCTGATTTAGGTAGTATGCATGGTGGTGCTCTGACGTATGTACTGTCCGTGGTGCAGTGGTTCAAAAGATAGATCGTAGTCCTTTGTGACCAAAGGAAGCATGGCTTTTCTGCCCAAAACCAGTTCCACAGAGTCTTCTATCCTGGAGATAATTGGGAAGTAATCCAATTATCTCCAAAGACAGGCAAAACTCCATTGAACACATGGCAGCAAAAGACAATAAAACACATAAAAACATATAACTGTGCAGCCATTGCATAAACAGGTACATTCAACATATCCCCAGATAGCTCAGATCTGAGTGCACATTATTACTGAATGGCGCTCAGAGCACACACATACAGTTCAATTGCCATGGATCCAAAGTCTTTCCCATAGTCTTTCATTATACGAATGGTCTCCATGGCATAGCTATCTGGGGTATCACCGCTCAAACAGGGCCAGCACCAAATGACCCGGCTTTCATGTCTTTGCAGGGGAAAATCAAGCGTTTCAACATGGGGCCATAGTCTAAAGGCAGCAGGCGGGCAACCAGGCTCCTCCAATGCAATGTGACGAGATTGGTCTCGTCACAGTTATGGTGGGGGGAGATGTAACATAGATGTGGCAAACCTAGCCACTTAAGACTATTGTGATGTATAAGGGTGGCCCTGGAGAGGCTGCAGATATATGGCTTATTGTATGTTGTTGGGTTAAATATGTGATAGAGAGCATTCCTATGGTAGTTTCACGAACAGTGACTTTCAACACTGTTCGTGAAACGAACCAAATACCAAATGAGAGACCACACAGTTGCAATTTTACGGATTGCAACATTGTATCTACCCTGTTCATCGATTCTCAGGGTGGTTGCCGTTCGGATACCGACCACGCGGCGGCCATCTTGGATCTTCTTTTAGTCCAGCGGTGTTTGGTCGTCATGTGCCTGGAACTAAAATCAGCTAATCGACGGCACGAACACCGCTGGACTTCCAGACCGTTCGGGACCACCGGTCCTTCGGTAGTTTCATACAAACTGTTAATTTGCATGTTTTACTGTGTGTTCATATTAAACGATGTTTCGTGTGGCGTTCGGCTAATTGGGCTGGGATCTGAGCGGTAGTTCCCTGAAGTATGCGCTCAGATCCCAGCTATCTATTGAGGTGTCATT